CGCACACTTCCCTGTATATGCGGCTGGGAGAAAGCCCCAGGCAGCCCAAGGGGGCAGGGTTAGGACAGTGACCGCCTCTGGGAGGCGCTGTTGTCCTCCCTTGCCCTTCTAGGGTCCGTGTCCCAATACCTGGAACCGCCGCACATGAGTTACTTCGCTTGTCCCAAATTGGCTGCTGCTCTTTGTTTTTGCGGTACTGGGGATCAAACTCAGGACCTTGCGCTTGCCAGACAGGCGCTTGTGCCACTGAGTTCTATCCCCAGCCCTTGGCAGCTGCTCTTAAATGAAGGCTCCGGGGAAGGAGACGGGGAGACGACCCCGGGTGAGGAGGGCGTGGCCAGTGTCATCACCAGCACATGAGGCGGAAGGCAGAGGCAGGAGGGTCAGAGTGGGAGCTGCACAATGGAAGCCGAGGGGCGCCGGGTGCGAGTGCCTTGGCTGGACCGTGGGCCACGGTACACATGCAATGTCTAGAAGGTGAAGAGGGCGAGAAAACAGGTTCTCGAGCCTCTAGAAGGAACCCTGCCCTGCCCACTCATTTCTGCCTTCTGATCTGCAGGACCGTAAGAGAATTCATCCGTGTGCCTTAAACCACTGAGCCTGTGGGCTCTTGTTAGGGCACCAGGAGAAAATGAATTCAGGCAGAAACCCACAGTAGGGCACCCAGAAACCAGGCGAGGAAAGAGCAGCAAGGAGGCGCGCTGGTCAGCGTGCTCGAGAGCCGGGGCCAGCTTCCGGAAGTGAAGGCTGCGTACCGTGCAGCGCTGGCTCCGGGCACTGAGGGTTCCAGAGAGTACACGGTGCTTAGCACGCTCTGTCTGAGTAAACGAGGGCCGCACACGGTCCGGTGAGGAACAGGAAATCAGGAAAGGGTGCTACACGGGCATCGGTCTGGGTTCTTCCTGGGGATGCTTCCAGGGACGATTACTTTTTTCTTTGTATTTCCCCCAGAGAACCTTAACTCCTGACTCCTATCCCCCCAGTTCTGGGCCTCCAAACCATTCACTGAATTCTGGGGTGGCACTGGGAGCGCTTCTGGGCCCTGCGCTTACTCCAGGGTGGGTGTAGGGCCACAGGGACCCTGAGTGCTCTGCTAGGTGGCCCTGGGGAAGGACGGCGGCTGCTGATGTCCAGGCAGGCATGGCGGTGAAGCCCCCTCAAAGCCCAGGCTGGCCTCACTCTTCAGCTGGCGGACTTAGCCCTGTGCTGCAGCAGTGGGGATTTAGCAAGCTCCCCAGGCATCACCTTTTATCTGAGCTGTGGGATTAGGACCTGTGGATGGTGGGGAACCCCAGGGTGGTGGCCCCGAGGCCCGCCTCCCCTGAGGGGGTCTCAAACAGTGCTGCTGGATAAGACCCCTCTGGGTCCATGTGTGATGAGTCACTCTCAAACAGTAGTGATCCCCTTGGTGACAGTTTGGAGTTGAGAAAGGACCCCAAATGCACTGCTGTGGAAGCTGTGGCTCTCTCACCAGAAAAATGCACATTCACACTTTGTGCACCTGCATGTTCATCTCTTTCTAACCCAGTAAACAATCCACTGAACATCACGATGCTAAAGCCCTGCTCCGCACAGTTCCCAAAGTGCCATTTCTACCCTGCTGGTGGTGCCCAAGATGATTTTAGGGAATGCACAAAGATATACATTTATTATTTTAATAGTTGTACATTTAAAGCATTCAAAACCCTGTGATTTTCCTGGTCTTATTGCCCAGGGTGAGGAAGGGGTAAAATAAAAAGTGAGTCAATCTACAGATAAACATTAAATATAATAGTTCAAGTGGTCTGACAATCAGAGGGAAGTGTGGTGGTGACTCAGGAGTAACCACGGTCTGGGAAACACAGTACTTATGGCCTTGGGAGAAAGTTTAGACCCAAAGTCCTCTCCTGGTCTTTCTCTTGATTTTTTTTTTTAATGCTAGGCATAGCTCAGTAAGTGTGCTGCAGTCAGGCCCACAGTGGAAGAACACTGCCCTTCCTGCTCAGGGTGAGCACCCACTGTCCCTTGAGGCCGGGGCGCAATGACAAGAGACTCAGCCTCGGCTCTTCCCTTTGGGCAGTTTAGCGTCCCTGTGCAGGGCCCAGTCACAGCAGCCTCGTGTCCCGTCATCCTGCCCGTGATCTGTTAGCACAAACAAGTTTGACTTGTTCTGTGTCTGTGCCTTTGCACGAGTGTGAGTGTGTAAGCGCGTACACAGAGGGGTGTGGTGAAGTGGGGGACGGGGGAAGTAAACGGAACAGATCTTCTCCCTGGGAAGAGACCCAGGGTGCTCCTATCCCAGGACTAATCTAGGGAAGAAGGGTCCTTGGGGGCGTCATTCAGAATAAGCGCCCAACCCCCCAGCTGGCCCAGGGCACCTCCCTCCTGCCTGCCATGCTCCAGGAGTGGGGCTGTCACCTCAGCTGGTCCAGTGGGAGGGCAGAGAGGTGGCAAAAGCAGAGTAAGGGGTGCTACAGGGCTCGGCTAGAGAAACACAATTGGCGCTGTCTCTACCCACGGCTCTCTCTAAAGGGATACCCAGCCTGGACTTCTCCTTTGGCTGCCCTCTCCCCTAATTTAAAGAGAACCTTGTCCTGGTTCCCAGAGAACTCTGTTTTTTTTTTTTTGTTTGTTTGTTTTGTTTTTTTGTTTTTCTTCTGGTACCAGGACTCGAACTCATGACCTTGCACTTGCCAGGCAGGCACTTTGCCACTGAGCTAAATTCCCAGCGCCCCCAGAGAACTCTGTTGACAGAAGCTGCTAGGCAACTGGAGTGTGGGACAACTGTGGCCACTGGTCAAGTTGCAGGTGCACTGTTAGTTTTCAGCTTTTTTCCATGCTTTCTTTTCTGGTTTGAGCTTGTGAGACAGAGTCTGGGTTTTGTAGTTCAGGCTGGCCTTGGACCCAATACGTCGTCCAGGCTCACAGTGAACTCACAGACATCCTCTTGCCTCAGCCTCTTGGGTGGTGGGATAATAGATGTGCATTACCACACCTGGCCAGTTTGAAGTTTTCTACATGTCTTCAGGTTGGGGCACAGAAATAAGGATGCCTACAACTTGACAACATTAAGATTGTTCAGCGACAGCGGCACGCAGGGCTATGAAGCAAACGTGGACTCAGTCTCCCCCCTGAGTCCTACCTGGGAGCCAGGCAAGTAAAGCAAAGGAAAACCACACCCTGCTGCTGGGTGGATGGCAGAGCTGGGAGGCGGGCAGCTGGCGGGGGGCGGGGGGACATTCAGCGTGACACTGAGAAGACAGGCCACATCCCAAGGCTTGTGGGGACAGGACACAGCTACAACTCAGGTTGGGGCCCAAGAGCCGACACAAGCCTGGCAGTGTCTGGCATTCTGACCCCAACTTGTGACTCTCTGCACCCAGGTTCTCTTCTCTGTGAACCTCCTACTGCCTCAGCAGGACCCAACACTGATCATCAACCTCCCATTGCAGAATACCCATGTGTTTTCCTTCTGTGGCCTCCCGAACCCCTCCCTGCCCCACCCGCACAGCCGCACCTCCAGCTCTGCACGGCCTTCACCTGTCTCCTCCCACCCACTGGGACTCCCTCAGCCCTTCCTCGCACTGTAGCGAGAATACCCTTCCAAAGATGCAAATCTGACTCGGCCACGCCCCTGCTCCCATCCGGAGTGGCTGCAATTGACCTCTGGCCCCTCCCACAGCCTCTCCTCGCCCACCAGCCTCTGCTCACTGTGGTTTTATTTCTGTCCCTTAACGGTGCCAAGCTCTTCCCCTTCAGGGGCTCTCCCGACGCTGGAATGTTCTTCCCACCACTCTGCCTGGCCGAGCTTTATCCATCAACTAGTGCGCGGCAGAAATGCTATTTTCTCAAAAGCGTTCTCCTCAACCATCCAGACTCTGATGGCACCAAGTAATTAAATAATTGTCCTGAGATGAGTATGTTTCCTCTTTGCTGCTTCTGAGCCTTCTGGCCCAGTCAGGAGCCAAGGAAGGTACTGAGGAAAGATGCAGAATTCGGCAGGACGGCCTGCCAGGACCCACCATGCCATTCTTTTCATCCAAAGGTTGCAAAGCACCTACAGCAAGAACTGAATAAAGAAACACCTGTTGGCTCATGCTCCAGCATCATGTCACCAATCTGACAGCCAGGTCTCGGGAGCAGAGCCCCAGCCTGCTGGGGGAGACCTCGCCCCCTGCCTTGATCCTTGGGGAAGGGACAGGGGAAGGGACAGTGTTGATATCAGAGTCTAGTACCCTTCCTTGGCTTTTCCACTAACAAGCTGTTTGACTGGAGACTTACAGAGCCTCTCTGAACCTCAGTTTCCACACCCTAAAATGGGGTGACAAAACCAAACCAAAGATCTGTTGAAGATTTATATACACAATGAGCCTGTCCCCAACCCTAAATAGCATGTGGCTTAGCGTACAGTCTGGGTTCAAAGTGCTAATCCCTTTTCCTGTGCAGAAGTGGCGAATGCCTTGCATTTCACTCTACTACACCCACGCCATCGTAGAAGACAAGAAATAAAGGGAGGGCTGAGGGGTCGGAGGACACAGCGCGCACTGTGCCACTGGCCGGCCTCCTCCCTCACCAACGCCGCCCGGGGACCCGAGCTCACTGGCAAGGCTTCCTTCCTCGGAAGCAGGATGAGGAGGGATGGGAGGGAAGGAGCGGTGAACCCTGCAACTATTATTCAAACAGAAACAGACCAGTTGCAAAGAGGGAGAGGCTGATAAGGAAAGAGGAAGGGAAAGACTGGGCGTGTGGGGTGCGGGGACCAGAAACGGGGATCTAAGTGGTCAGGGGCAGGGGCTGCAGAAGGAAAAGGTCGGAGGACGGAGACGCGGCGGTGGAAGAGCTGGAGGATGGCGGCGGGACAGGAGCCTGCCACCGGGAGGACAGGGAGCGGAGGGAGGGCGGGGGGCGGAGGCTGTCACCTGGCCTCCTCCTCAGGACAGGTGATGGGGCTCGCCGGGAGCGGGGGGAGGGTCCCGGGGGACGGGTGGGAGACAAGGGTGTGCGTCCCCGGCTGTGCCCACCTGCGGGTCGCCTCGCAGCTCTCCCACGTAGTACTGCTCCAGCCAGCGGCGTGCGTTGGCCGAGTGCCGGTGCGGGGGTCCGTCCAGGTCGGCGCTAACGTCCTGACCGGCCCGAGCCCGCAGCAGCTGCTCCCCCCCCGGGTGGTGCCGCAGGAAGCCGGTGAGGTCGTAGAGGCGCGCCCCGCGGCGGACCCAACAGTCGCCGGCCGCCAGGCGCCGCTGGACTTCGGCGGGCGAGAAGGAGGCGGCGGGGGGCGGAGCGGGGGCCATGGCCGGACAGCGGAGCTCGCAACTCGCAGCCCGCAGTCTGCTCCGCGGCCGCCCGGCGCGCCTCTAACATCTCGGGAGCCGGGGCAGCCGCAACGGGACGGCCGCCACCGCACCTGCTCATTTGCATGCCGCGCTCCCATTGGCCGCTCCTCGAGGCCGGAGCCCGAGGTCCCTCCTCACTGGCCGGCGGGAAGGTCCGGCAGGACCCGAGTGGGGCTGGCCAGGCGCGGTGCTCGCCCACCAGGTGGCCCTGGGCAGGTAGAGGGCGTGCCCGCCAGGTGTGTCCCGTCGCGGGGGGAGGGGGAGAGCGCAGGCGGGGCGGGGCTTTCCGTCGCGGGTGGCTGGAGGGACATCCTCGGTGACCTGATCGCCGCAAAAGTAACCCTTCCGTGGCAATTCCGTGGGAGAAATCTTGGATCCCGGTCTCCAGGATGGACCAAGGAGAGGGACAAGCAGGGCGGGGATCTAAATAAAGCGAGGGAGACTCTTGCTTCAGGTGTAAAATTTAAGGTGTCACCTCAAAACTTGGGAATCACAACGTATAATAGTTTAATGTACTACTTCAGAGAATTGCCTCATTGTACAGTGTGAACGTGTTTAATGGCACTGAACTGTACACAGACTGAAACGGCAAGCTTGTTTTGTGTATTTTAGATACGTATGAATTTTTAAAAATCATATTGCCAACTCCTGGGCAGTGGCTGGGAGGGGGTGTCTGGCCACTGTTTTTGTAGGCAAAGTTTCATTGGAACCAAAGACAGTATTCATTTTTTTTTTTTTTTTTTTTTTTTTTTTTTTTATGAAAACTTTCCAGGCTCCATCTCGTTGTTG